CTCAGCGGATTTGGGCTGTACTCAGCAAGAGCAGTACAGCCCCCAACTCAGATTTGAAAAAAAAATCAGTGGATGGTTGTTTTCTGACTGGTCGGCAGACCGCCGACCAGTCGGCCCTACTGGTCGGCTGCAATACAGTCGGCGGTTGGGGTCGGCGGTCGGCAGGCAGGCAACCCTGCCGAGCACAAAAAATCGTCAAAGTTGCAAAACGATTCTTTTAGTGTGGACCTCCCTGTTTGGAGAAGACGGGCCTCAGCGACTGGGCCTGAGGGCCCTTTTGCAGTTCACATGCAAGGGAGGACCGGTCCTCCAACTTTGCTTCAGCGCCGGTTCTACGCGTGATAGCTGTAGGTAGTCCGTAAAAACGCGGTGGACCGGTCCCCCAACAACTTTCACCCCGTTAGAAGCCGCTTGTGCGCCTCCCCCCCCCTGCTGAAAATGTGCCACCTTGACACAGCTGCCAAGTCTACTACTATAGTGCAGCCTTAGGGCTGCGAATCTCTTTCAGTTTCAGGGGTTGCCAAATTATGAACGACTCTTGAGTCACAGGGTAGCACCACTCTTGCAGCATCCCAGGGTAGCCCCACTGTCTGCAGGGAAACAGCTGGGGGAGTACTGGGAGCATGAGGTCAGGGTGACCGACATGATGATGTGGAGGTTGCCACTGAGCTTCGGACATGGGCGCATGCTGATTGCAGAACAGTGGCTTGTTGAAGTCGTTGTCGTAGTTGGGACAAGTCTCGCACTCTCAGGTTCCAAGCCCAGCAGGTGGACTCCCAATACACCTCCTTCAGCAACATGACCCCTCTGACAAATCCTAGGTTGAGCTTATCATGCCCTGGCACTGCACTGCAAACCTTGCCAGGCCCATTGGGGCTACCCTAGGGTAGAATAGGGTAAGGTGTACCCTGGGAAGGGTAAAATATACCCTAGGCTAGGGCAGGGAATGCCCTAGGGTAGGGTGGGGTGGCATAGGGGTATAATCACCGGCAGGGAAGGGTATACCCAAGGGTAGGGTAGGGTATACCCTGGGGTGCCGGATTTTGCTGCTGTGAGCAAATCCATCAGGGCCAATCCTGCCAAAGCAACCAGCCAGGATTTTGAAGCAGCCGTGGATCATAGCCAGTGTCCTCATACCAACACGCACCACTATTTGCATACAGAATGCCTCAGGACACGAAAGTCGATAAACGATAACAATATGCACAACCTCAACCTAATTGCACCCTTAGATAAATAAGCTCACTTGCACCTTGGGCCCTTCCATACCAAAGGTCATACAATGTTCTGTAGCCAGGTTCTGATTGCTGGCGCACCTACAGCACTCAGCAGCCGTGGACCGTAGACACTGTCTTCATACATACACACACCACTATTTGCATACAGAATGACTCAGGACATGAAAGACGAAAAACAATAACAATACACACCCTCAACCTAATTGCACCCTTTATGTAAACTTGATTGCGCACTCGATATAAATGATGCAATAACCCATGCCATATGTCTCGTGGAAACTGAGGGCCAACCCGGCTGCCCTCAGCCCAGGCCGAACAGGGGCACATGACCCCACATAAGGCTTCAGGGTCTGGACGTGGGGCAATTGACTTTGGTCAACTGTCGGAAATTCCAACAGTCAAAGTCCAAAGGTACCTAGCCCAGGCCGCTGGTCAAGCACACACACTTGTTTGTATGCAGGTACCCAGACAGCATCAGGACCAAGGGAGAAGTCTACAACTGTACAATCCGGGCCCTCAGCTGGGAGTCAATCTGGACGACTGTGGGAAAGGCACCCGAGGCCAGACAGCCTCGACGACCGCTATTTAAGGCTGACCTGGCTCGACTTTGACACAACGCTGGCTTCGTGCTGGCTGTGCACACGCGTTGAGGACGACGCCACAAGGTGGAGGCGGCATGCTGGTGCTTCTTCGGTGCACCATACCATGCTGACGTGGCACTGCCTCTGGTATATGTGGCGCTACCTCTGGTATTAGTGGCGTTGCCTCTGGTCTACGTGGCATGTTGACGTGGCGCTGCCTCTGGTATACGTGGCGCTGTTTCTGGTCTACGTGGCATGCTGATGTGGCGATGCCTCTGGTATACATGGCACTGCCTCTGGTCTACGTGGCATGCTGACGTGGCGCTGCCTCTGGTATACGTGGCGCTGCTTCTGGTCTACAAGGCATGCTGACGTAGCGCTGCCTCTGGTATACGTGGCATGCCTCTGGTCTATGTGGCATGCTGACGTGGTGCTGCCTCTGGTCTATGTGGCATGCTGACGTGGTGCTGCCTCTGGTTTATGTGGCGCTGCTACTGGTCTACATTGATGATGTGGCAAATGCCACCTGTTTCGATTGCTGACGTGGCATTGTCCATGCTGTTTACGTGAGGTGACTGGTTGCGAGGAGGAGGAAGATCGGGATCTGTGGATATTGGGGATCGGGTACTCACCTGAGGTTGATGTCGTCACTGGAAATCTGCTGTGTCTTCAGGGTCTTCATGAGATAAAGTGCCACGTGGCACTTCTGTGTGTGATCAGGAATATGCTATTATCATTGCTGATTTGGTGAAGGGAGAAGCCCAGAGAAGGAGAGGGTTGAGCAGGGATTATTGTGAGAATCTTCTTCCTCTCCTTTGTCAGTTTCCCCCTCCATTCTATTCTGTTGATGATATTAAGTTACTGTTTGATATATTTCTTCTTGAGTTGGAGACCAAGGGTATCTGACGACTTCTGAGTTTCTGTCAGACTGGGTTCATTACAATGAAATTGCACCCTGGGCCCTTCCACACTGAAGGTCATACAATGTTCTGCAGCCAGGTTTCTGATTGCCGGTGCACCTACGGTACTCCATGGCAGTCACCTACCATTTTCACACAATCACAAAAGCTCACCATAGCATCATCAAGGTGAAGTTCTAAAGTTAGACTGTATGGGATGGTCCCGTGAACACACACCTGTGGTACTTCTCCATCCATGACAACCTTCTTCTTCTTTGGCTTCGGCTCCTTGCTGCATACACCAGGGAAAGGAAAACATGATGGAGAGAACATCAAAACAGAGAAATAAAGCAATGCATTCATGAATCATAAGAGCGGCACCTGTCAAGGTAATTTTGTCTCAATTTCAGAAACAAAAGAAAAACCGCAATAACTCAAAATCCAACATGTTAATAAGAGCCTACCTCCACGATTCGACCGACAACCAGAAACTGTTGTGAAATACAGTGTTTGCCTATGAATGGGAGCCTAAATAAGGTGGTGAAAGCATTCTGTGTCTTTAAGGTGTTTGTTGTTTTCGTTCTTGCAATGATTCAAACATGGAACCGAACAAAGTATGTATGGTAATACATTTATCTTGTTTTTCATCACCATTTGAAGGTGGCAAGTTTTGAATTTGGAACCTGCATATAGAGCCTCTGTTTGCCTACCATGGTGGTAGGACCTTTTCGGCTGGTAGTGTTACACTGGAGGCCTAGGAGAGAGGTGCGGCGATAGCTAGTGAGGACTTCCTGTTCACTGGACTGTTTCTGAGCCGATTGCTGCATACTGCTGAGGGAGCCAGCGCACTCAATTTTATTTCACCTTTTTCTGGTTTCATCAACTATTTGGGGAGTGATTGCTGAATTTCGATTTTCTGAGGAGATGCAATCAAGTGTGCTCTCGCAATTCTTGAGATTCCTGAGATTCAACCTAGTTCGATTCTCTGGTTCCAATCAAAGTGTGTATGTGAGATGATGGATGGAAGTACTTGAGATTGTTGAAATCGTAACAGAACAAGAATAGCCAGCGCGGCTCCGCCCGCGCCAGCAAGGGTTAGGGGCGCATTCCATCTAGTACATATGAGAGCTGAGAGTAGCTGAGAGTAGAGATTAGAGTACAGGGTAGAGAAGAGTAGACTCCGTGGAGAGTAGAGTGGAATAGAGAGTAGGCTCAGTAGGGTAGAATAAAGTAAAGTGAAATAGGGAGTATAGAGTAGAGTGGATTAGAGAGACAGCATTAAGTGTAAATATCATGTAGAGTAGCGTAGAGAGCAGACAGTACAGAAAAGAGTTGACAGCAGTTTAAGGTAGAGGGTAGAGAGTACAGCAGAGTAGAGTTTGGTGTAGAGTGGAGAGTAGTGCAGTTTAGAGTGTACAGAGTGGTGTACAATTGAGTAGAAAGTACAGAGTAGCATGGGGTAGATAGAGGGTAGTGAATAGTTCAGAGTGGAGTAGAGAGTAGAATAAGGTGGAGAGTAGGGTAGAGAGTAGAATACAGTAGAATAGCATAGAGATGAGTAGAGTAGAGAGTAGAGAGTAGAGTAGAGAACACAGCAGAGAACAGAGAGCTGAGAGTAGTTGTTATATGCTGAGCCTGCACACGGGCCTCATTTTGGGGGACCGGCAGTTGCTGGCGGCCTGCAGGCCACACCTTCGGACATGCGCCCTGGAGGCCCACGGCCAGCCCCAGGGCCGCAGGTTTCAGACTTGCAGTTCAGTACGTCCGAACAGACCTTGGGTCTGTTCTGACAAGGCCACGTTTTTAGGCCTGGCACGGCAGGTCCGTTGTTGTCCAGTTACGGACACTCCCTGCTGCATCAGCAGGGAGGGGCCTGAACATCCGTTAGGTACCCGGGCAGGCCACCTTTTGGCCTAGGACCAGAGGCACACCCACGAGGCCCAGCGCTACTTATAGCTGGGCCACGCCAGGGCAGACAGTTCTTGGGCGACACGCAGCTGGAGCAGTGAGGGCAGACAGTTCTTGGGCGACACTCAGCTGGAGCAGTGAGACAGCGCTACACTAGAGGTAGAGGTGTAGGTAGGAAAGGAGGTGGAGACCATACGTTCGTCAATGGAGTTCCTACCTGGGCGCGTCGTCGTCGTCTCGCCCTCCATCTCTTCTTCCATTCTTCCTTTTTCTTCCTCTACTTCTTTCAGAGAGAGAGAGAGAGAGAGAGAGAGAGAGAGAGAGAGAGAGAGAGAGAGAGAGATTACAGGCGGAGGTTACATCGGGCATGGAGCCCAGGATCTGAATCGACATTTTTGAGGCAGACATTGATTGGACATACGGCTGGGAGACTACTTTTGGACTTCGCTATCACAATCTTGGTCTTCTCCCTCCTCACAATCTTCATCTGGCCTCTCCCCCATCTTCTCATCGGTGGTATCTACCCCATGTGCAAGTTCAAGGTGAAACGATTTTACCTGTCACACAACAGTTTGCAGCAGCCAGGGCTCGATCCCTAGATGTCGCACACTGTAACGGTGCAGACCCGAACAAGAACCGACCTCTCTCACATAGTACAAGATAGGGCAGCAGAAGGCTCATATACCAATGATCCGAACAATCAATGTTGGAATGCAGACCAAACATACATCATCATCATTCCATGGTGTGAAGGGGCCTGGCGCTCCCACAGGAAGAATGCGCCAGTCCCCAACCATACACACACGAAGAAGAGGGCGGTTAGACGAAGAAGAGGGAAAGATGGGAATGTTGTCAACACCAAGTCTTCGGTACAGGTCCCAAATAATCCCTCATCCAATGTCTCAATCCCAATGTGGAGTCTGGATCCAAATGTCGTCAAGTCCCAAATCTCTCTCTCTCTCTCTCTCTCTCGTAGTTTGCAGATACGGAGAAGTTAGGTGGCGAGAGGGTGAGGGAGAGATGGTGGACTTAGAGAGGAAGAAGAAGAACTCTCTCTCTCAGTCCGGTACTAACATGTGAAGGTGGCGCCTTGTTGCAGGTAAGTCTCCCTGGCCTCCGCCAACCATCTCTCTTTCTCTCTGTCCAACGCTACTCTAGCTCCTAATAGCGCCCAGCGCTGACGACTACTGCTAACGCTACTACTACTGCAGCGCTCCTCCAGAGGGCTGCTGCAGAATCCTGAAGACTGCGTCCTGCCTCCTGCACGTGATGTGCCTGGGAAGTCCCTATGAACTACCTCGTGACTACCTGCAGCCTGCAGGGCGGGCTAGTCTTATATAGTGCTGGTCTGTCCAGGAGGCTGCTCTTGCCAATGCCAAAACGTGCCAGACCATGGTGTTGAAGTTCAAACAAAGGTTGTCTTGAAAACAGGCCCAAAATGGCCTGTGCTAAAACCCTTGTCTAGTCCCTAAGTTTCAGGGCAGATCGACTTTATGAGGGCCTGAAAAAGGCCCTTGTTTTCAGGCTTTTAGGCTGACACAACACAGGGCCTGTAGGGCCTGTAGGCCCTCATTTTCAGGCTTTTAGGCTGAAACGACACAGGGCCTGTAGGCCCCTGTTTTTAGGCTTTCAGGCTGAAAACGACTGAGGGCCTGTAGGCCCTTGTTTTCAGGCTGAAAACAACACAGGGCCTGTAGGGCCCTTACTTTTCCTTGTTTGGTCGGGCCTTGCAGGCCCGTGTGGATGCGTAGTATGCCACACTAGACCTCACCCTCACCCATGTACAGTATTACTTGACCTATGTGAGCTTGAACCCGCGACCTGTGTCTTGAAAGTCACCTGTTTGTTTGTTGTAGGTAGTGTGGTCGTCGGGTCTTGAACCGTAGCTCTGTAGATTAGAGGTCTTAGTAGTGGTAGCAGTCATAGACGCTACAGTGTTGAAAGGTCAAGTCGTAGCTGCTACAGTAAGGGTCAAGCCCAGTCTTCCGGAAGATCTGGAACTGGCCCTTCGTGAGTCAGAGATACAGTCCATATGCAAGTGGGCAGACTAACCCAGCCCAGTCAGCGGTATCCAGTCCCAGTCGCACTTTGTCAAATCAGCAAGTACCATGTGGGACTGCGTGCACCCCGGGCCCAAGGTCCAAGGGCAGACTTTTGACAATCCGAAGTATAAATCAAGAGGCAGCGTCAAGCCATTCATTCATTCTGCCTGTGAGCCGTGAGGAAGCGCTGTCGAACTGTCTTGTGTACGGAGGTCTGCAGGTGCCTGTAGAAGAAGAGGGCTACGAGGAGGAAGATAGGACATCGCCGATAGCTAGTTAGTAGAGGAGAGGGACGGCGGCCATAGCCGCCATGTCAGCACGCTAAGAGTGCTAATGTGTGTATGTGTACGTGTGAAGCGTGTGTGTTGTGGGACATCCAAAGAGATCCAGGGTGTGTGTACGAACCCGTTGCTGGGAATGTGGTGTACCGCCATAGCCATACGAGACAAGTTTGAATCTAAACTCTGTTCTTGGCTACATTAACTGTGAGCTTTGTGTGGGTGCAAGTCGCCAGCTTGATCGTCATCTGTTTGTAAACTCTGTTCTTGGCTACATTAATTGTGAGCTTTGTGTGGGTGCGAGTCGCCAGCTTGATCGTCATCTGTTTGCACGCATGCTGATTATCGAGAAAAAAAGTCTGATTGCATTGGTATCAGGGCTGGTTCCCGCTGTCATCGTCGTCATCATTGTCGTAGGGCGCTGAAGGGAGAGGAGCACCACGTCAGCTTCGGCATCGAGAAGAAGGGGGGTGCTACATCAGCAGAGTCGTCGTTGTTGTAGGGGAGGAAAGAGGAGCGCGTCAGGACACCGTGTCAGCAATTGTGCGCCAAGGGAGGAGAGACACTTGCTTCCCGCCAGGCAGAGAGAGAGCGGGGCAGGGCGTTTAGGCATCACATCAGTGTCCGTGATCCGCAAGTGCCCCGCTGCAGCCGCGCGTCCTTTTACTACCAGATTGCGCGCTTGTTCCCACGCGCTGAAGTATCGCACACTTATCGTGCTGTCCCCGTTGCTGCTGCCTTGCAACCCCGTTGCCGCTATTGTGCGCGTTTCGCATTTGTCGCCCGTTGCTCATTATTGTGCACTGCCCCGCTACTTGCTGCGCGCCAGCTTACCCACTGGCTGCCATGCGCTATTGCCATCTGCACTCGCTACCCGTTACTATGTGCGCCTGCCCCCTTGATCGCGTGCCCCCGTTGAGAACTGCACGCGCCGATTGATTGGCGCCACCCGTTGCTATTCGGGTCATTGTCCCATGCTGTAGCCGCGGGGTTGAAGGGAACCACACATCGCAAATCAGTGAAGGAGGGGCTGATAGGAGCGCTGATGAAGAAGGTCGTCGTGC